GGCAAACTGCCAGCTCTTGGGCAATTTCAACTCCAAGGCTGTAAGCCAAGGATGGGCCACTGAGCCTAAAATAACCTCCCAAGAGGGTCTAACAGGTCGGTTTGCAATCTGTTCCAGCCCTGGCTTTTAAATCAATGTAATTAATACTGGTTGGGCCCCCGCTATAGGTTCACACCATGAAAGTACAAAGGTCTGGTCCTATATGCGGAAAGGAGGCACACTGACAAAGCAGACAATGAGAGCACTGTATGAACGAGGGTGTGTTCTAGTGCCAAGATCTGCAGCTGGAGCCATGTGGGCAACTCAGATTCACAGAAAGGATGGAGCACAATGTGCTGGCAAGGGAATGGGTGGCTTCTAGGAGCTCAAGGGGGAAGGCAGAATAGAAGGACCCTAGCTTTTCGAGAAGAGAGCACGAGGCAGTCTGAGAAGAGTAAGAGTGGGTAGGCCTGACCACAGCAGCACAGAGAGCAGACTGTGCCTTAAAACCTCTCTCAGCTCCGTATGGGGCACACGGGGGTCTTATGGGAGAGGTCAGACCAGTGGAAAGCCCACGTCTAAGAGGTTCCAAGTACCGAGAACATCAGGATATGCAAAGTCAGCACACAGAAGCCAGGGCCTCACCAGTTCACACTTTAATCAGGCAACAAAAATAAAAAATGAGTGTTTGGGAAAATTATTCATTCAGTGATCATGTTTGGGATGGATTAGATGCAATGAGTAGCAAAAGCTCTCTCTCCCCAAACCCAAACGCTTTTTGTGAGTATCGACCAAACACTGACTGTGTGTGAACCTAATGAATATAGGGTTCTTTTTGCTGAGTTTCATTATCTAGTCATTAAGCCCACAATTACCTACTAAGGACCCACTGTGCAATAAAGGTTGTGCTAAGCACTGAGGAGCAAAGCGAAGTTCTAGCCCTCATGAAATGTGTCCTCCAGTGGGAGTGGAAGACAATACAAAATTTAGATGACAATTCTTTCAACCCAGCAAGCAAAGGCACTGAGTGGGTCTTGCGAGACGGCACGCTTGAGGAAGGCCTCGCCAAGGGAACTGACATAGAATTCAAAGCCAAAGAAGCAATAAATGGAAATGCATCTACTAGGAATATGGATTCTGGGAAGAGTGCAGGAAGGTGAGCATGTCAGATCAAGCGTGCTAAGTAACAACTCCAGGGAATCCACATGGAGGTGTCTGATTGGCACAACTCTAACGGGCAAACGCAGAGGAGATAAAAGCCAGAAGTGTACATTTAAAACTTGCCAATCTGGGGCTGTGGGTTAGTAGCAAGGCACATGTTCAGCACACACAGGAGCCTGTGTTCAATCCTAGTGTAGCACAGCAAGCCCTAAATCATCCATTGAGGCCTGAGTGCCAGGAAGCCCTCCCTCTGAAACTGATACAAAACGATGATGTCATAAGGAGAGCTGGAGAGACGCTTAGTTGGTAAAGCACTTGATTTGAAAGCATGAACTTGAAATTGGCTCCGCTAAGAAAAAGAGGAGGAGGAAAAGGAAGAGGAGGAGGAGAGGGAAGAGGAGGAGGAGGGGGGAGAGGAGGAGGAGGGGGGAGAGGAGGAGGAGGGGGAAGAGGAGAAGGAGGGGGAAGAGGAGGAGGAGGGGGAAGAGGAGGAGGCATCCAGGTGTTGTAGTGCATAATAAGAGACAGGTGGGTTCTCTGAAGCCAGCCTCTCTGGTAGAATTGGTGAATTCCAGGCTATTACAAGACCCTTTCCCAAAGAAACAAGATGGACAGTATCCCAAAGAATGACACCCAAAATTGACTTCTGGCTTCCACATACATGCAATCCTCCACACACACACACACACAGGAGTGGGGTGGGACTGAGGCGTACAAAGGTTTTTAAGTTGGGTGTAAAATACAAAGATAGTTCATACTATGTCCACTGACAATCCGCTTCCTCCAGGCTTCTGGAATCCAAGGGCAGACAGTGGTTTTGTGCAGATAGCAAGCAGATAGCAATCACAACTCAACAGTCCGTCTGGGAGCCCGCCATCCCCTGCCTCAGCAAGGGAGCTCTTGCTCTCAGCTCACCCTTGAATAAGACGCTGCCCCTTTGTGGGTTTTCCTTCACCAAATGCTACCGATCTTTCAATGTATCAAGAAAAGGGTTTGAAAAATAAACGAGATAAAATTTAGGTAAAATTTAAACTGCCTCACTTAGCAACCCTAGAAAGGATAAGAAGTGAATATCAGGGTAGATTGTAAGGTTTGAGTGACACCCCAGGACTATAAGTGTTGAAGTGTAACCTCTATTTGAGGGATTAAGGGAATATAGCATTTAAAGAAGTGATTATGGTTAGACAAGCTTTATATACAGTAGAGACACAGAAGCACATGTGTACACTCACACTTTTTATACATCATCAACCACAGGAAAAAAAAAAGATCAAATGATCCTTGACCTTGGAGCTCCAGAACCATAAGCTAAGTTGACCCACACTGTACTACATATCAGTAACAGAAAATGGACTAACTCAAAGAGGGGGATAGCTGTCCATCCTGCTCAGGACTGTCTCAACTTCAACACGGGAAGCCCTCAGCAACCCTTAGTCAAATAGAAGGTTGGTCACCTTGTGGCTGCGTTTGATCTTAAACTGTAACCTGTGTCTGACCCAAACGCAACGGAGACCTGTCCTTCTAAAACTGGTATCAGCCAAGTCCAGCTCTTTGTTTCATTCCCAAGCCTTCCCTAACCTCCTCATCTCACGTCCGAAAGTCAAGGGGTCTTTCTCCAGCAGACAGAGCTGTGCTGAAAAACCTCTGGACATGACTAACCCTAGATCCTTTATCTTTCTGCCCCTGTGATCTGCTTCAGCCCCTGATGCTCCCTCAACAGGCACCACCAAATCCACCAGTGACCCCAATCTGTGTGCCGTGCTGCCTAGCCACTGAGAGCAAGCTGGTGGGGTCAGGGGTCAAGGTCAGGTTATTTTAGAGAGAAGAAAGATGCTGATCTGGCAGGGCCCTGGGGAAGGGGAACCCCAGCTGAATTACGGCTTTGTGGCTGAGGCAGATTGTGTCTGAGGTCTAAATTACAGAAACACAGGAAATACGTGCTGCCCAGTCAGTTTTGGGGTTTTGGGTCAGAAACTGGGCTGACTCACCTTCCGAGGGGAAACCAAGTGGGTACTCTCCTATGAAGGTATACATCACATTCTTTCCCAGAAGCCTCTGTGTCTGGAACCCTCATGGTCATGGGGGAAGCTCCACAGTTATTGCCGCCAGCTACTAGGAGTGCTCCAAAATTATCAGGAAGATTTAAGAACAATGCCAAGACTGAAGTTAAACTTGGCTCAAACCCTCCTTACAGGGCTTTCCAGCTCAACAAGTTTAAAAGAACAGTAAGCCAAGTCATGTTCCTCCAGAAACAATCCCCATTTGGCCTGTGGTTGCCTTGATCACTTATGTATCAGCTAAAGCGTGAATTTTAATTTCCAAACTTTCATGACCTTGGCCAATTTCCACCTTTGACAAGACCTGAAGGACTAGTAGCAGACCAAAGGGGTTGGGTCGTAATGCTGCCTTCTGAGTCTGGACAATGACCTCGAACCCCTGAGAATGGCACACTTTCCCCTCTGCCTCTGGACTCTAACAGAGAAGGTTAAGCAGGCTGTTGCAAGATTGCGTCAGTGACCTTTGCAATTTTCTGGCCAGCTGGTTCCCCTTCCTCCCCACCCCACCCCCTGCCTCAAGCCCTTTGGCCTACCTGACTCTCCTTTTCCCCTACTTTGCTAACACAGGTACACCAGTAGCCAGAGTTAAATTAAAGCCACCCCCATCCAGGGGACTGTGTCTAATCTCAAACTAACCAGCTTTTAAGAGCATTCTCCATCCTGGACCCTCACTCCAGAGTCTACAGCACTCTCCCAAACCTGGTTGTATGAAAGCATTGTAAGAGGATGAAACACTTACATTGCAGACCGATTTTAACGCAGGCCTTCTTCAAGGCTTGCACCCAACTTCACTTCTTAAGTGAATGGAGAAGAGAATACTCTGTGTGTGTGTGTGTGTGTGTGTGTGTGTGTGTGTGTGTGTGTGATAAATATACATGATGCACATAGCCTAACACATGCTAGGTGAGCACTCTATCACAGAACCATATCTACAGTTCTCTTTAATTGTTATTTTTGACACAGGGTCACAGTAAATTATCCAGGTTAAGCTTGGATTTTCCATCCCCCTGCCTCAATAGCTGGGATTACAGGCCTGTGCTTTGGATTTAATGGCTGTTCCCTGTTACACAGAAATACCGATGGAAGCACCTTACAGACAGAGGCTAATTCTCTCTCTCTCTCTCTCTCTCTCTCTCTCTCTCTCTCTCTCTCTCTCACACACACACACACACACACACACACACACACACACACACACACCTCTATGCATTAGAAGGAATCCACAATGAACAACTTTCTATTAGGTGACTAGTAATGTCCCCACATTTCAGTAAAAACTCACCTGCCATGAGAGCAACCTTGTTTTTTATTGTTGTTTTGTTTGCTTGCTTGCTTTTGCCGGCTCACTGCAGGGGTCCCTTCCCTTCCCTCCCACCTACACCCTCCCTGATAGGAGAGTGACCCTTCTGCTTGAAAATGAAAGTTTTCAACTATGTGGAACCCCAGATTTTCTCATTAGGGTCTTTTTCAGGTTCCTCTGGGACTACAGGAGTTGGGCACCTACAGACACGGGGAAAAAAAAAGAGTGTCCTGTCAGGAAAGCATGACATCCATCACCTCTTGGTGTGGGTCCTCTTCCTTGGCTACACAGTGAAGCAGGGCTCTTGGCCTCTGCAGCACCCGCGGTCTAGGATCTCAGGGTGCACATGGCAGGGGCGTGCACCGCTCGTGGCCACCTCCCCCAGGGTCCCCTGCTGCTCTACCCGTTCTCCTTCCTCCTCCCCTTTTTTTTTCCTGGCGGTTTCAGACTGGGGCCCAGGTCAACGAGCCAGGAGGCGGATCCCAGGCTAAAGATAAAAGGGCTCAGGACGCTGAGCGCTGCAGCTGCAGAGTGTCTATCCCAAAGAGGGGCGGCCGCGGGAAGAAGGACGCTAAGGACAGCCTGACGCACTTACTCCCGACCACCGCCAGCAAGTGCTGTCTCGGCTCACACTGCACCCTAGGTGAGCCTCCTTGAGGGAACCAAGTGAGGGCGAGAGACCGTAGGTTCCCTTCCCAACTGCCATCTCCCCTTCTACCTCCGACTCACCCCACCCCCTCTCCGGCGTCAGGGTCCCCTGCTTTGTTGCTGTTTCCCTCTGGAAGGCTCAAGCCCCCTCTTTTCTGCTACTTCTGCAGGCCCCGCCACCCACAGCACAGAGGAGCCCAGATGGAGAGTGTGCAGGAGCTGATCCCTCTGGCCAAGGAGGTGATGGCGCAGAAGCCCCGCGGAAAGCTGGTGAAGCTGTACGTGCTGGGCAGCGTGCTGGCGCTCTTCGGTGTGGTTCTCGGCCTGGTGGAGACCGTGTGCAGCCCCTTCACAGCGGCCAGTCGTCTGCGCGACCAGGAGGCAGCAGTGACCGAGCTGAGGGAAGCTTGTGAGCAACAGTCCCTCCACAAGCAGGCCCTGCTGGGCAGAAGCAAGGCACAGGAGGCGACCCTGAGTAGCCGGGTCCTGTCCCTCAGGCAACACGCCTCCTAAGGCTGGTGTCTGGCAGAGGAGGGAGCGAGACAAAGACAGAGAAGAGACATAGAGAGACCATGACTCAGGTGGGAGAGAGCAGAGTAATGTGCTGTTCCCAGAAGCCACCGAATCCAGAACTGACCCCGTACAGATCACCCGAGGGGTCTGGGATTGACTTTTGCTGCTATGTAGCATGTACTGTGATTTGTCCAAGGTTGTGGGGGCGATCAAGGAGCTATCATATTGCATTAGGGAAGGAGATGCGCTTTTTATACAGTTATTTTTATTGTTGTTATTATTATTATTACAATGACTACCATTTTTCATTTTGAAATAAAAACATTTTATACTCTATCTCATTCTTTAATTCCTGGGAGGTGTGGTGACCCTCTCACCCAGTGCTGTGAATAGCCTGCTTCACACATGCTACCCGGCACAGCTCTACTCACAGAAGAGTGAAACTATCAAAAGTCCTAAAGATGTTAGCATTTTTGGATCACTAGATAAATAAGTGAGAGATAACCACTGAATTTCTCGAACAAAGAAAAAGTGATTTGTCTTTTACTCTTTTGTGCAAGCGATTCCTGTGACCGATCTCTCTGCTTAACTATTTGAGAGGAGAGGAGAGAGCAGGGGGAAAGGAAATAAGACTGGAGGAGGAGAGGGAAGGAAGTTGGAAGAAAAGAGAGAATGAGAAAGAAGAAAGAGTGAGAAGAGGGGAAGAGAAGGGAGAGGGAGGATGGGGGGGCAGAGAAATCACCTATCTGGTGGGAGCAGAGGTTCTCTGCCCAGCTGAACCGATAGTCTCTGACCACCCTGAGAAATTACAGCTTAGAAAAGACCTTTGTGACAGAACCGAGTCCTCTCCCTGAAGTCAGAGCTGATAGTGTGTCAACAGCTAATTTAGTAACACTGTGGGACTCCCTAGAGGTAACCCCTCCCCACCCATGCAGGGCCAAGAGGACAGCCTGACCTACTCTGACCAGATGTGGGCATGTCACCCTGACTCTCTGCTCTCCCAAGCTACCCTTACACACAGACACCTCCATTCCATTTAGGTCCACAAACCCAAACTCCCCAGCGCATTTGGTTCTGACAACCATCATTTCTCCCTAAAATCTATCCTTGTCATCCCCAGGGGAGGAGCAGTGGGAATGTGGTGTGATTAACAAATGAAAGAGACATGTCGGAAATTTCAGTGACACCAGAGCTCTTCCTGTTTCCAAATCCAGACACTTGACCCTGTGCTAAGGCAGAGTCCAGCCTTAACGAGTTCAGAGGTCCCAGAAGTTCAGCCAATCGGGCCCTTCAGTCACTCTTCCAGTGACTCCGCAGACCGCTTGCTCCTCTGACCATTCAACACCTTGTCCAGCTCATCTCCTACATCGCCTCACAGGCTGGTCCCCCATCAGTACCTCATACCTCGCTGTTCCTCCATCACCAAACACCTGCATGGTTCTAGCATCTCTGTGACCTGTTTCTATCTACCTCTTATCAGACTTTGCAGGCTGCCCAGCGTGGACACTGGTTCTCTCGGGTTCCTCTTCTGTCCTTTGATACTAGTATCTCCTCACACCCATATTCTCTATATCTCTGAGGAAGATATACCTCTGAGAATTTCAAATTTTTCTGCCCATCAGTAAATTATGTATCAAACTGCGTGCTCTGTTTCTTTGGTGTGAAGGCTGTGTTATGTGTCTATTCAGAGAGTCTGGCTATGTATAAAAACACAAGCGGGGCAAGCATACAGATAACACTAACTTTATTCAGGTTACAATGTAGCATCTCTTGCAGATTCTCCGTCACACTGCCCAGCCCGCTAGCCTGAGCTGCTGGAATCTTTGCGCCTCTCAGAATCTTGCAATTGTGAAGTATAAGTTTCATGCCCACCTGTGCTAGCAGACTTTCTTCTCAACTGCATTGTGGGCAGATCATGATTCTCACAGCCTACCTTCCTGAGGGGTGAGACCATGTCTTTCTCAAATAGAACACGTCCCTTACCCCACACAGAGACAAAAGCTATTCTTGGTTTTATTCTATTTGGCAGTGTTAGCATCAACCTAGGAAAGATGGCAGAGGAATCTTTGTTGGTTCTGTTGATGACAGGACTGGCATAGCAGAGTCAAGATTAATAATAATAATAATAATAATAAATTTTTGCAGGACTGGAGCCAGGCTCTGAAGCAAATGGAAACTACATGACAAAGAATTGTTGGATTTTTTATCACACTGTGTGAAGATGTGTCACTGCTTTACTTTGTCTGCCTAAGACACTCAATTGGTTTAATAAAGAGCTGAATGGCCAATAGGTAGGCAGAAGAGGTTAGGCAGGACATTCAGGAAGAGATAGGAACTCTGGTTTAGAATCTGGCACAAGAAATTTCACCAGCAAGACACAAAGGGAGTGGGAAGTACAAAATGGAGGAGAGGTAGAGAGCCACATAGCAGAATGTAGATGAATAGAAACAGGTTAATTCAATTTATAAGAGCTAGTTGGAAGCAAGCCTAAGTCTCTGTATCATTATTTGGCAGACTGGTGGTTCAAAGAAAGTCCAACAAAAAAGACATGCTGCATTTGGCATCCAATGTGGAGGCCCAGCCCATATATTCAAACATGGGCTCTAGGAGAGCTGAGAAAAGTCCTGGACACAGAACCCACTGCTCATGGTGTCCAGAGGCATGGCTCCTCTAAGAGGCCATGGTTTGCAGCCGAACACTTAAATGGTGAATACTAGATAGAATGGGGTCTAGATAGAAATGCCCATTGGAGCATAAACCCAGTAACTTCCCAGAGCTGGGGCGGGTAAATGTGGCTCCCAGCCAGGGTCTGAGGGAATGAGGCTCGGCTCTCACTGACCCAAGGGGGCAGGCAGAGCCAGTCATCAATGCCAGGTGTTAAGTGGAGCCATGTGGCAGGTAGCCTGGTAGTTTAAGGTTTGGCTCATGTGGTCAGAGAAATACTGCAAACATGCAAAAGAAAAAATCCAGGCCCAGGCAGAGAAAGCTTCTAAATAGGTACAGTATGCTTGGATATAAACTTAGGTGCTGAAGAAAATGAGTATAGACAGCCATTTAAAAAAAGTAAATCGTCTAAAAATAGTAAAGTCCTTAAAGAAAGAATAAAGTAATATAAGAAGAATAACCCACGGAAAGACGGGAAATACATAGGGCATCTGGATGTATAGTACTTTGCTAGCTTTGAGTTTTTAAAAAGCTATTGAACAACAACAACAACAACAACAGAAAAAAGACAGCTGCTGAGAAATATTGGATTGTGGGAAAAGCTACTAAATAGAACCAGCCTATACATTTTAAGACTGTCTTAACATTAGAATGGAAGTCAGGAAATGTGTTGTGTTAGGGGAGAGGCTTTGCCTTTGTTTCCTATGGAAACATAAAGCTATGGATTCCTTCAAAATTAACAAAGACCAGATTTATTTGGAAGAGACCTCCTGAAAATCTCGGCTGCAGACATAAAGGAAGAAATCAAGGGAAAAGCTAGAAGACAGGTGATGTATAAACTGATCCCTCTGTACCGGGAACAGCTAGGAGAAGGGTGAGACGTGACGCGTCTTGTTGACTCGAGTCCTTATGACTTCTTATGGCATGCTGTTCTTTCATGTGGCGTAGATGGAGATTTATATCACAGTCTGGTTATGCAGTCCAAACAGATCTATAAAGTTGACAGGTACCTTTCACCTGCTCAAACATGAACCAGAAAATCCTCTTTAGCTGAATAAACACTACATATTCTGTACTTGTTAGTGCAGGTATGTTATCTTTACAAGTTTGTGCATTTTCAGGGGAAAAAAAAGGACCAAACGCCAACAAAGATAAGTAACTCAGGTGATTCAGTCTCTCAGAATGCCTCTGCTGAAGGTTCCTCAAAAATCTGCATCCAGAACAATTTCAAAACTGCTAACTGAGACGGTCCAGCCTCATAGACTATTCTAACCAGGACTTCAGATAAGCCCCGAACTTCCCAATATGCAGAGAATGGACAAATGATATGGCTAGTTTTCCCAGGACTTGACCATTATTCTGATTTTTCCCAGGGCCCCCAAGGATGTTATCACCCCACACAACAGGAAGCACTGTAGAGTACACGATGCTCATGTTCCCTAGAGGTGGGGTGGGTGGTTATAGATGTTTGTCTTTTGAGGTGGTTACTTGTAAATTGTTATTGGTCATGATCAGGGAGGAAACTAAGCAAAGGATGTTAGACTTGGGAATCTCTTTCTGAGAAAAACAAAGGGAAGCATAGGATTGATCGGGTAAATTACTAAACCTACTTCTAAACTAAAAAGCAACTACTAGTCTCAAGTATTTTACGTAGATATGGTTATTTTTGTTATAACAACCTGTATATATGTTTCTACTCTTCTTTAAGGTATGGTACCTATGCAGTTCATATAATAATGTACTATGAAGTTCTAAAGCTATTATTATAAACTATTTAGGATAATTAAGAAATGTAGGTTAGTAGTTAGTCATCTATAATAATCAAACTTGTAGTCAGTAGGTATATTCTCAAGGTTAAACAGACAGATCTTAGATATAAAGATGATCTTTAAAGCCTTCAGAGAGCTCCACAATACGACATCTAAGATGTTTTAATAACACAAGGTTTTTCATAACAATGAGACATGTCTGCTCCTAACAGCACCAATCTACTTCCAAGATGATGGGCATTGAAGAACCTCTATATGGAGTTTGCTTTCATTATGGCAAAGTTAATCACTGGGCATAAACTGTCCTTGCCTCAACTGTTGACAAAATGTTGTCCAAATTGGACATGCAGGACACAGAAGAAGGGAACTACTAAACTTTGCTAAGACAAGATAGGACAGTTCTTCAAAATTCCTGCTCCCCAGAAAAGTCTGTCAGATATTATAGTACTGTAGGCCAAAGATAGATGCTGCAACATTACAGAGAAAGCTTAGGTGACTGTACAGGCAGTCAGCTGTCTCTGTCATTTTATAGTTTTGGAAGTTGTTTGCTTTGTACTTCCAGTTTACTTGGGTAATATTATATCTTTCTTGGGTCTCTGATGGGATTAGATAGTTATACCATTTTTTTGTTGCCAAATTTAAAAAAAACTTACAAAAGAGATGTAAATGTATAAGGTTGAAAGGCATAAAAGCTGAAGTTATTTATCTAAGAAAATATTTAAGGTCTAAAAAGATACTTTTAGAAGGGCAATACAAGTTATACTATCAAGTGGTTTAGGTATAAATCTTTGGACTCATCAAGACAGGAGAGATAATAGAGTAATTTCTCCAAATTGGTCAAATACAAATGAACTGAATTGTAAATGTAACTCTTACCTGATAATTGTTCTTATTGTTATAGCT